AATCACACAAAGATATATAAATCTAAATGTATAATATACAGATCTCTCTTTTTTTGAAGGTAGTAAAATACAACAAAACAAGACAGAGCAAAGCCAGTCAAAACAAGGCAGTGAAATTGGTACTGAACTTTAGGACAGGATACCGGAATAACAGTAATAGGTTCCATAGTATATCTTGTTATCTTCACAATAGTTGTCCATTAAATCAAGTGTAGCAAAATCAAACCAAACACAGAACATTAAAAAACTTATTGAAACAGTATATTGAATAGAGCAAGATAACTGATCAGAACAAAACAAAACAGTGAAAACAATATTTGCCTTCAAAGAGAAACTAGAAGGAAATCCCTCATATTTGCTATATGGCATATGGTCATCCTTGCCAGAGATGCTCAGAGCTCTGGCCCCAGATCAGCATAATCACCCAAACAATACAAGCATTTAGTTGCTTTATGTGCCTTAGTTGCTATCAACTCCAGCTGTCCTGGAACCATCCAGTTGCTAAATGGGGGTGGGGATGGGAGTAGGGGTTAGGGTGGGAGTAGGACTAGATGTTTGATTCCGGTAGGCTCACGGGAGACACTGACCTGTCCTCTTCCTGGCACACCCGCTGCTCACTCACGCTGCCACTTACCAGAAGGAAGGACTTGTTACTTTCTTGTTCAGCCCCCCAAGTTCCAACATGGCTGGATCTCTGGAGTCGCTGACTTGTTCTGTAAGTATACAGATCTTGTATGAGAAAAACTATACAATACCAATGAAAGAAAAATTTTTAAGATCTAAATAAATGGAGACACCTACTATAATTATGGATTGGAAAAGTCTACATAGTAAAGAAGTCATTTCCCCTCAAACCAATACACAGGCCAAAACCCTAGTGATTTTTTGTAGATTTAAATAAATTATTCTAAAATATACATGGAAATATAAAGGAACTAGAATAGCTAAAACAACTATGACAAAGAATAAAATGGGAAGAATCAGTGTAAATCATTTTGAGGCTAACTGCATAGCTACAACAATCAAAATTGTGTGAAGCCAGGTGCAGCAGTGCACCTTTAATCCCAGCCACTCAGGATGAAGAGTCAGGAGGCTCTCTTGAGCCCAGGAATTGGGGCTGTAATGCATTAAGCCATTTGGATTAGAAAAGTATCAGTGGTAGGATCTGCTGTACACTAGCAAAAAAGAGCTTCTTTATGTTTGTGTTATGCCAATGCCCAAGTTATATGACCAAATTACTTGTTAATTCCCTTTGCAACCGGACACCCTGGAGCACTGACCACATTGTTATAAAATAGCTGTAGCATGTCATACTGTTCTGTATACGCCATCTTTCTGGGTGACCTGATTGATATGTTAACCATTGTTCCCCTCTGCAAAGGACAGAGATTATCTAAAATTAAGTGCTGAAATTAGCTGACAAAGGACTGTAAATTCCTGGGAATCTTCTCTGTCCTCAAGCAAAGGGAAACAAAGGTCTTCCTCATTCCTTAGCTGACCAAAGATTGTAAATTCCTGTGAAACTTCCTTGTCCTCAAGCAAGGGGATAGAACTCATGACCTTGTACTTGCCAGGCAGGCATTATGCCATTGAGTTAAATTCCTGGCCCTACAAATGTTTTCTTAATTGTACTTTCTATAAAAGTCTGTCTAAATTTTAAGCGAGTTACACAGCTTTGCAAACTCCAACTGCACTGTGCCGCTGGCGCCAGGGTAAATAAAAAGCACTCCTTTTTCTTTAAAAATATGTCTTGCCCCGTTTTTTGGACACCATTTTGGAGCTCGTTTTTGGGGTACAACAGGATCTCCTCTGCAAAGTTACCATATTTTATCTTAGGCAACATATCAAGACCTCATCTCTTAAAATTAAAAAATATTAGAAATAAAAATACTGTTTAAGGCTACAAATTATTACAAAACTCAGACTACAAAATGTAAGATAGAAAGCAAAGGGAAGACAATACAAAATCAAAGCTAATTCTATTAGAAGACCAATAACATAGATCTGGGATGTCTGATAAAGTTAAATAGATATAAAAGTGTCTTTTTTTGTTCACTCATTTAACAATAATGTTTTGTCTAATATCTAAGAAGTAATGTTGGATGAGCACGAGTTGTGGTCATGTCATTCCAGAGGACTGAATGAATTTCCCTAACGAGACAAATGCTAACACAAAGCAAGCTAATTTTCCTGGAAGTTTTTAGGAAAGGTTGAGGAACTGGAAGCCTAACCATAAAAATGATTTTGAAAATGAAAAAACAATTGTAAAGTGTCAGGGCCGGTGGACCTGAAGGGGTGTTTTCGCGGGTGAGATTCCCAAGGGAAAGAAAGCACACAGAGCTGACATCAGCAACAACAGTGAGCAAGAGTCTTATCGTTCAGCCCTTATATTGGCTGTTTTCAAGCATTAGATTCTTGTGTGCTGACTTAACCATGTGGCACATGCGTGGTCGTCTATGCTAATGCAAGTGCATCCCATTGTGCACCTGTGCTACACCTGTCCTTACAGGTCCTCAAATGCCCCTTTGAAGAAATCTGAAGTGGCTCCTCACATTCCATCTCCTCAAAGATCGGGGACATTGCTTTTCATAAGTGACCCATAGAGCCAACCCTTGCACACAACAATAAACATAACAGCCCTTGACCACTAATGCCATTGCTACCACCGTGAGGCTTGTGCCCACTGGGCACCAAGTGGACCCCAAGAATTCCCACCATTGGGTGAGAGGGTCCAGTGGCAAGGCCTGGATGGCAGATACCTCTACATTCACTTCTTGCAAGTCTTCCTGTACCTGCAGCTGGTGATCACAGATTAAAATGCAACATTCTACATGCAAGAAGGTATGGGTATCTCCTTGCACTGCAAATTTTGAAGCCAAATAGGCCAGTTTGGTTTTTAGTATCCCATCACACCTCTCAATCACACCAGCAGCCTGTGGTCAATAGGGCACATAGAAGTGCCATCTGACATCATAGTCTTTGACCCATTGTTGTACCTGAGCCCCTGTGAAATGTGATCCCTGGTCAGAAGCTATCCCTAGGGGTATCCTGTGTGCAGTAATCAACCATTGCAACGTCTTAGTAGTATGGGCTTGGTCAGCAGAGGAAAAACTGTAGGCAAAACCAACACCTGTGGCTGTACTTACAGTAGTCAGAGCATATCTATGTCCCTGCAAGACAGGCAGGGGTCTGATGTAATCCAACTGCCATTGCTGAAGTAAGTAGGGTGCTCTGGTATTGTGCCAAGTTGTGTGGGTTCCTTTCTTCTCCAGGGGGCCAAATGGACAAGCTGAAGACATGCCTTTACTGCAGCCTTTGACTCAGCAGGAATGCTATGCTACTGCTTGCATGGTTCAGGGTCCTATGTGCTCTGGTTTCTTTTGAAGCCAAGATGCCATGGCAGAAGGCAGCCCTTGGAGGCTTCTCTTGTCATTGCATCTGCTAAGTCATCCCCTCATGAGAGAAGGGGCTTATTTACTGAAACACAATAAGCTACATGGTTAGTTGTTTGGCCTTGCTCCCATAAGTCTTGGTGCCATATCTGCCAATCCTGGATCGCCCAAGCTGGTAACCAGAGCATCAGTCCCCTAACTATGGCTCAAAGGTCTATGCAAACATGTAGGGGCCTTTCATCATGCATTACAAGTACTGTGTAACAATAGCCCACAACTGCCATTGACTTGATCTGCCTGTTCTGGTGTCAAGTCAGAGGATTTCCTTACTGGGCTGGACAGTGCCCCATCAATTATGGGGTTGTGCTATGGCTGGACCATGGATATACCATACATCAGCCAGAGGTGCCTCTTTCCCCTCTGCATAGCATAAGTATCATTGCCTGTAGTCTATCATCCCATAGTTTCCTCTGCCATATACATCTCTGGCCTCAAGACTGTTGCCAATTGGGCTGCCAACAGGCTAGCTGAAAAGGAGCCCTGCTGCTGCCAGTACAAACCCAACATGTGAAGGTGGGTACCTGGGCTACTCCACTCCTGGGATAGGATGTCCAAGTATGGACCCAGCTCTCTATCAGATATGTAATCTGTACTTCACTGCCTGCTGTCCTATGATCCCTTCACAGGTGTGCAGAGCAACATAGATCACTGCTAGCTGTTTCTGGTTCAAGAAAGACTAGTTTTTGGCTCCTTTCCATAACTGTGACCAAACCCCAATAAGGTGCTTCCACTTCCCTTGCTTTTTCCATAGGCCCCAGCTTAACCCAACATCAACTACACTGTTAGGGTAAATGGCAGAGTGGAGTCAATGACTTGGAGGGCTTATACCTGCCCTCTTTGAGGCCTGAAAACCAGCTTCTGCCTAGTCTGTCCAGTCCCATGTCACACTCTTTCAGGTCATCAGGTATAAAGGGCACAGCAGGGTAGTGAGGTGTATTATGAACGTCCACCAAAAGCCCACGTATGCCTGAAATTAGTGTACTGTCACGGATCTGTGGTATGCCTGAATCTCATCGAAAATGGCATTGGGAAATACTTTCATCTTACCTGACCATGTAACACCCAAAAATTTTCCTGGACCTTGTCTTCATTCACCCCAGGCCAGCAAAGCTTCCTACTGACTTCCAAATCTGTAGGGCAATCAGAAGTTAACATAATATCAATAGAATGGAATAGTGACAGAGTGGCTTAGCCCAGGTGGCCAAATTCTGGGCCACCAGGCTATAACACAAAGTTGGACTATGCAAATAGCCTTGTGGAAACCCTTAAAAGGTCCATTGCCTTCCCTCCCAGGTGAAGGCAAATTGGTCTTGACTATTTGGTGTAATAGCAGTGGAAAAGAAGGTACTAGCCAAGTTCACAACATAATGGTATCAACCCAGCATCAGGGTGAGATGATCTGTCCAGTCTGCAATGTTAGTGGTTATTTGCCATATCTCATCTGGCTTCCACAAGGCCATACCAGGGAGTTTGAAAGGGCTATGTGCAGGTACATCACCCCTACCTCTTCCAGTTTCACAATGGTCTGTCCCATTTCTTCCTGATCCCCAGGTGGCTGATGCTGCTTCATGCACTCAACTCCCATAGCCTGCAGTAGAATCAGAGGTGAGTGGTGTGGATAACTTCTGACTACAGTTTTTGTCCGTGGGTTCACAAGTAGATTTCTCCCTGCATGTTGTCAAGCCAAGTACCAGTCAGTATGTTCACCCCCAGTACGTATTCAGCACCTGGGGATACATAGACATCAGAAAGGCACAGAGCCAACACCCAATACCCAATGTCACCTTACCTCTATGGACCATGATGTAATGACCTCCATGCCCTTCTGTATGTGCAGTAGGTCCTGTATAATGGTTCAGGTTGCCATGTATTAGCAATGATTCAGCTCCAGTATCCACCAGTGCTAGTACCTGCTGCACATTCTTTGGGGAATAGTCAATTCCACATGTAGCCTCTGATTCCCTGGGATCCCTATTAACTGGGTGCCTTGGCCTGTTTCTTAGTTTGGGTAGAAGGATGCCAGTGTCACATCCTCCTGCTTCACTGGGGCTGCTTTTTCTTTTTTTAAATCTTTTTCCTTTTTATCGGTACTGAAGATGGAACTCACGACTGCCTGCTTACAAGGCAGGCGCTTATGCCGCTGAGCTAAATCACCAGCCCCCTACTGGGGCTGCTTTTTACCTTTGGGTCCATCGGCCAATATTGCTGCTTAGGATGCAGCTACCACCACAGAGACAGCAACACTGAGCTGTGTGTCTGTCTTATCTGCAGCTAAGTGAGTGGCTAGCAGGTCCATCTACATTTGGCACTGAAGGCCCTTAATGGCCCGCTAGTCTGAGCATGGGAGATTGCCCCTGTTTGGCTGGGGCATCTGGTTTTCCTTTTCTTTCTTTTTCTTTTCTTTTTTGGCAGTACAGTTTTTGTGGGTCTCACCTTATCTTGGCACTTTACTTCCACATCGCCTAGCTGGGCTATGGCATCCACTGCACTGTGGACTGTGGATTGGGCCATTGTGAAGTGGCTAAGAGGGCTGCCATTATCCCAAACCTGCCAGCTAGCCTGCTCTCCAGGATTAAGTTTTTCATGCATGACGTAGGCAGTTCTTCATCAGGGGTATGACACTGTATAGCAGATGCTGTTTGCTGCATGCCCATTCCTCAAAGCACACTTACAAAGTCTAGGTAGGTTGCTATTTCATGACTTGCTCTGGCAAGTCACCTGCATTGGCCCAAACCAGGTGATCTGCTGCCATCAACCAGTCTGGTTACCTGCTTGTAAGCTGTCCTTTGGACATCCTGTCAGATATACAAAACCTGTCACATAGAGGTGATACTGGTTATAATGGCTATTTGGGACATCTCTTAAGGGTTAAACTCCATGTCATCAGCCCCATCGTCCCATCACCACAGCAGCCACAGGAGCTGTTTCACCAACCTTTTGCTTTAGTTGTTTTGTTGGCTCCCACAAGGCCATGGTTGTGTAGGTCATACAACCTGTGTAACAGGTAGAGGTGGGCAGTCTCCCTGCTCCCTCTCCTTGGGCTAGGGGCTCCTCCACTTCCACCTTCTGTCAAATAGCGGGCCTTGCATACAATACCAGAGGACTGCCCCAGGGATTCTCCTGGAGATGGGGACTTATACTTCAAGAGTTGCTTTGGGTGGAGGCAGTGCTCCCCATATCCTGAAAAAGTGACTTCTGGGGCAGCCAATCATTGTTCTACATCCTCCTCTTTCCATTGCCTCTGGCCTATCACCTGGAGAAGTGACTTCTAGTCACTTCTAGTGCCCCATAGTGGAAAAGAGTGGAAAACAGCCAAACTACTCACCCCACTGACTCATGGTGAGGGGGAAGGAGTTGCATGCCTATTGCCTCTAAGGCCTTCAAAACGTTCCTGGGTGTCAGACAGACCACTCTGAAGTCCTTGGGGGCTTCCAAGCTGCCAGAAAGGTGGCTGCAGGTAGCCAGGGAGAAGCCGGAGGAAATAAGTTGACATCCTCTGGGTCACTCCCTCAGCATCAGGCAGTGTTTCCACAGGTGCTGAGGAGACACTCACCTCATCCTACTGACAAGCCACTGGACAGGGTCAGGGGGCTTATGGGTGTTTTTGTGAAGTCCCCAAGGCAAAGAAAGCACAAGGAACTAACAGCAAGGAGCACCAAGCAAGCCCTTATATCAGCTGTTACCAAGTGTTAAATTCTTGTGAACTGACATAACTGTGTCGCACATGTGTGGTATCTATGCTGTCATGATTATATAAGTGCATCCCATTATGCGCCTCACTAGGCAGTAGGTTCGTGTCTTCATGGGTCCTCAAATGCCCTCAGCTTTGAAGCATTCCAATGTGGCTCCACATATATAAAGTCTGTATAAGGAGAAGTTACACTCCAAGGACTTTCTCCTGCCCAAAGTGAATAATGTTACCCTACTGTAGTTGAATTCTCAAGAACATTGACCCAGCCAGCAGCTTCAGGTGAAGGTAAGTGAGCTGACTGAATCTAAAGTAGGGCATCAGTGGCAGCTGCTGTGCCAACCGTGCATCAGTTTTAAGGATGTCCCTGGCATGCATGCTCCAGTCAAGCTGACAAATAAGCCAAGAAATAAGAAAATATAAGATTCTTGGAATGAGGAGTTTAATGCAAAATACCAATGAAGAGAAGGCCCAGGAAAACAACTGTGCAAAGGGCCTGGAATGACCCAAATTAGCACTCAAAGAGCAGAGAACTCTAGGAGGGACATATTGCTGCAGAAAAAGGAAGAAACTGAAAAACTACTGGATGCATTTTACCACATGAAAAATAATAGTAGGAATATGTTTAAAAATCTTAGGAAAAGCTAACAAAACATACATAGAAAATAAATGAATAACAAAAGGAGACATTTATAGTGCCGTGGGTGGCTACTGCCCGAGTGGGGACAGCCAGACCCAGGTCTTTGTGAGTCAGCACCATCCATTGACTGCGGAGGGAGAGAATCAGGCCTCACCAGGAGGTCATCCCCGCTAGGAAACCATATCATCCTCATTGCTTTATTGGGTTGCATTTTATTCTCTTCTGTTTTGTTTCATTATGTTAAGTATGATGGCATGAGCAGCTATTTAAAAGACAGCCAGACATGTTGTGGTAGCCATTTTGGATTTACTATTGGCTTATTTTGAAGTCCTGTATTGCATTCATTGTTTTGTTTTTTTGTTTCTATTCTGTTCTGTTCTGTTCAATTTTTAGCATGTCCAAAGGTACCTGCAGCTATTTTGAAGACAACAAAAGGCATTATGGTAACTATTGTTGGTTTTGTAAGATTTTGAAGTCCTGTATTGCTTATACTGGTTTATTTTTATTGGTTTGTTTTATTTTCCTTGGTGTTATCCTCTTTAAAATAAAAAAGGGAAGCGTTTATTGTCTTTGAAGGGAAAAAAATTGTTTAAAGAAAGGAAATATAGTCATACAAAATTGTTTGTCTCAATAAAAAATAGTAGTTATAGAATTGTGATATTCTAAAGCTATCTGGGAGTACTTGGTAGGAAAAGTGGGCTGGATGTGAATGAGATTGTACAACAAGATTAATTCTCATATTCTATAGTAGAAAATCACACATAAATATCTAATGCTAATAAATCAAGAAATAGCAGTATATTGCATTGTTTGGAAATACGAGGGTAAGCTAGCAACAGATATACTATATTAAAAGAGTTGTAAATGATTACCTCCGGGGAGGAAAGACTGACAGAATGTGAGAGAAGAAATACAAAACAATGATTTTTTTTCCTTTTGATCATATAATTCAAGTTAAATGTGTATTACAAAATAAAATTTTATTTTAAAACTAAAGGATTGGGGTTGGGGATTTAGCTCAGTGGCATAAGCACCTGCCTTGCAAGCGTGTAGTCATGAGTTCAATCCCCAGTACCAATAAAAAAAAAAGTCAAAACTAAAGGATTTCAAAGAAAATCACAAGTGGAAAAAAAAGACCTAAAGGATTGTCTTTATATTTGTACTTCAAATTATGTGCATTCAGAAAAATGATGCAGGCCACATTTACTGATCACTGTGCAATTAAAGTGAAACATTTTTTAAAAATATTATTCATTCCCACTTAAAAACAAAACAAACAGGCACAATGATGTGCTTCTAATAAATTGTGGGGAAGGAAAAAATAAAACTAAAGTTATAGATTGTTTAGAAAGAACAACAAGGGCTGGGGACACAGCTCAATAACATAAGCACCTCCCTGGCAAACACAAGATCCTGAGTGTGATTCCTGGTGCCAAAGAAAGAAAGAAAGAAATAGCAATGACAAGAACAGCCAGGTGGGAGGCTGAGGCAGTAGGATCACCATGAGCTTTCAAAGCCAGCCTGGATTACATAGTGAGTATAAATTCAGCCTGAAGTAAATAGTGAGATCCTATCTAAAAGAAAAGAAAAAATAGAAAGAAAGACAAGCCATGGACAATACATATCAAGATCTAAGGGATGTGGCCAAAATAGTAATAAACTTCTAGGCTTTGTAAACTTGTTTGAAAATAAAAATTTTGAAACAAATGAGTAATATATCTGAATAAAGCAGATGAATTAATACATTCAAAAACAAATCAAAGGCAAAATATTTTCTTAATAAATCAAAAGCTGAAACAAGGCTAATCAAACCTTTGGCAAGTCTGATTAAGATTAACAGAAATATATTGGTCAAAGTGGTTGATTCTTGGGTTAGGGATATGGCTTGGTGGCACAGCACCTGCCAGTCAAGCACAAGGTCCTGACTTTTAGTCCTGGTGCCAAAAAAAGTGGTTGATTCTCAACAGTCATTCCACCTTGAAAAGATAAAGCTACTTAAATTATAGTAGGGTTGGTCTACTTTTCAGTGAGTGATTTAGGAATTGCCTGTCCTGATCAGTACAATATGATGGGAAGATTGCTGAAGGGCTTTTCAGAAAATTTTTTTCCTTATTCTCAAGAGACATATAAAAGAAGCAGTTAGTCTCCTTCTCTATTAGTCAGCTTTTCATGCAGAAAAGAAATACCTGCCATACACAATTTAAAGAAGGAAATGATTTGTTTAGGGCTGATAGTTTTACATGCCTCAGTACAAGATTGACTGGCTCCAATGTCAAAACATCATGGCAAAAGGGCGTAGTGAGGAAAGCTGCCCATCTCATGACAGGAGAAAGAACACAGGGGAAGAGCCAAGTTGAAAGCTGCCAGGGATCAAATATAGTCCACAGGGCCATGACCCCATGGCTTACTTCCTCAAACTAGGCCCTGCCTCTTCATGGCCCATTCAGCTATAAACTCATCAATGGGTTAACCCAGCAAGGAGGTTGGTGCTCTTGCAATCCAATCACCTGTGCAGGTGTTTCCTAATCCACTCAAGTTGACAATCAAGATGACTAGTTCATGTTATTTTCCCAGATAGCTGGGAATGATATCCAGAACTGCTATAATCATGTTGTTACTAGCCCAAAGGCAGTGCCCAGAGAATTGCAGAAAAGCAGAACCAGAATCCTGATGTGGAGAGCCTCTATCTCTGGACCTTTTGTTATGCAAGATAATATGTTTCCTTATTATTTAAGCCAAGTAGAATCATGATTTCCTGGTTTTTTTTTTTTACAACTGAAGTCATCTTCAGTTGAAAGAAAGGAAACCAACAAGCTAGAAATAAGAGAGGCAGAAATATAAACACGTAAATTATTTTAAAATATTGAAAAAACTCGCATTGTACCACCATTTATTAAGATTTAGAACTTCGTAGGAAAGTAATCATTTTAAAAATTGATTCCAAAAAAGAGGAAATTCTAACAGATCAGTTATAATACAACAAAAATTTTGTCACAGAGCTATTATAAAAAGGTACCAAGCCCATATGATGTAGAATTCTATCATTGCTATCATTTGGAAATGAAGAGTTATTACCTGGGAAACCTAAATATAGTATAGATGTCAAATTTTAATAATCTATACATATGCTGTAATTCTAACAAAATCTTAATGACATTATGAAATTTTAAATTCCATCTGGAAGAGAAGCAGAATGGTAACAGACAAAAATCTTACTACAAAAAAAAAAAAGACAAAACTTGAACTTCTATGTAGAAAAGTGCACTGTTATGGTTTGTATCTAGATGTCCCCTCAAATCCTCCTGCAGCCATGGGGGTGGGCTTCTAGAGTTTGTGATTCACTCATGGTGCAATGCTGGGATTCTGGATGTGGGTGCCACACCCAACCTGGAACATAGCCTGCATACAATATGAGGAAAGGAAAGAGGCTTGCTCTCTCTCTCCTTCCCCTTTGATTTTGTTTTTGCTGTCTTCAGCTGCCACAAATGGTTGCCCCTCTGCCACACCACTCTGCCTTAGAGGCAACTGATTATGGACTGAACCTCTACAAAGTGTAAGATAAATAAACCTTTCCTTCCTTAACTGTGAGTCTCAGGTATTTGGTCTCAGCAACAAGAGAGAAATAACTAAGACAGAATTTGGTACTGAGAGTGGGGTTGTTGTTGTGACTATACATGATCATGTGGTTCAAGGGAATGACTTGTGGAAAGAGTTTGTAAAAGTTCAGAAAGAGTAGTGCCAGACACCTTTGGTTATTCTGTATGGGAGATTGCAGTCACAGCATAAAATAGAAGGATGACAGAAATTCTGCCAGTCAAGACCAGGCTCAGGAGATTTCTACTGGGAAGGGCTATTGGACTCCAGATGATATGCATTATGGCTTGGCAAAATGGTTGTCTGCATTTTGCTCACATACACAGCCTTTGCCTGAGACTGAGATTAAGGGCAGCAGACTATCTAATCTTGTAGAAAAAATTTCAAGGCAGTGGAATGCTGAGGTAATGGCATGGATATTGTTAGGCGCTTCTAGTCAGATTATGTTGCAAATCAACAACAGAGTTCAGCAGGATGATTTAAAACAGAAAGGAAACTCCAGTAAAGCTGTAGACTGCAAAGACAGAGCAGAAGAGATCTTGATTGCTGCAAAGGATAGGAACAATAAAAGAGATGGACTGTGGACATCACAGGAAGCAGCAAGTCCCCATACTTTGCAGTCTTCAAATTGCAAAAGTGAAAGGCTTTGCTTTGAAGAGAAAGACACAGAGCACCATGTTCCAGAATGGAGGCAGCATAAAGAATTTATTTCTCAGAATTGGTTCATAGTACTCAGTGATGGAGGGCTTGACCCCTACAACCAAAGAGGAAGAAAGCCTGCTACTACTATAGCTAGCAGCAGACTTTGGCATTATCCATGTGGTGCTGATTTTAGGTGCATGCAGAAGGTAAGAACTGTGAGATTAAAAAGGCTTTCACCCAGATTTCAGAAGATCTGGGAGGCCAGGCAGTTTGTCCCTGAGAGAGCAGTTGTGTGAAGCTGTGAGGATGAAGCCAAAGATTCAGTGGAGACCTCAGAAGTTTGGAGAAGCCAGAAAGGTGGATCACCTCAAGGAAACTATGAGGAGGGAGCAGAGTGGATCTAAGAGAAAAACTATGGGAGCTACCACTAGCGGTGCCACAGGGATAGAGCCAGGCAAGCCCTTTGGAGCTCACAAATTGCCACAGGTTATGTTATATGCTGCACATGAAACTATAGAACTGTAGTTCCTCTTTTCCCTGCTAGATTTTGGACTTGATTTGGTCCCATTTCTTTGGATGAAATTTGATTGTGGGACCACAGACAGTGAATATCTTAGAAATCTATGTTATGACTTGTATCTAGATGTCATCACAAAGCCTCATGTATTCAGAGGTAGCTGGATCTAGGATGTGTGAATATGGGTTAAAGGTGTGTGATAACTAAATTAATCCACTGATTGGTTTAGCATACTTCTAAGTGTGTATAATGGAAAAGCCTACCCTGGACATGGATGGCACCAATCAATAGACTTGTAATCTGAATGAGATAAAAGGGAAAGGAAGCTCACTGTTGCTTGCTGCTTCCTTCTTGCCATTCCATAGACTGTTTGTCTTCTACTCTCTCCCTCTACCATTCTCCCTTGCCTCAGAGCCAGCCCAACTATGGAGTGAAACCTCTACAAACTGTGAGCTAAAATATATATCCTTTCTCCTTTAACCTGTGGGTATCAGATATTTTGTCCCATCAATGAGAAAGCAATTAAGATAATCACCCACATAGGAAATTGACAAAATCCTAAATGCAAGAAGAATGTTCCACATCGATACTGTGCTAATGCACAGAAAATGAAACTTTATTAAGGGCACTCACCAAATCTCCAACAATGCTGCAGTCATGTTGATAACCTATAGGGAAGGCTTCTCTAAGGTGACAACCTTCTAGTAACTACCATGGAAGTAAACAGTAGAGCAGGAAGTCAGCGTTCTCCACTGAGGGTTCATCTAAAGTTTAATTTCCTACGAACTTGTGATGCAAAAAAAAAAAAAAAAGTGATTGTTTTGTTTGCCATAGGAGAAAAGGAAAGAAAACATGGAAATAAGCACACAAGTACAATGGAAGAAGAGAAAGGGTTTTTTTTGTTGTTTTTGGGGGGGTTATTGGTACCAGGGATCGAACCCAGGACCACTTGCTAGCAAGGCAGGTGCTTATGCCACTGAGCTAAATCCCCAGCCCGAGAAGAGAAAGTTTTAAGTTTAAAAGTCAGTTTTTAAAAATGGATCACTCATTCTATAGTCAAGTTCTCATTTCTTTTCTCTCAAGTCTTATCCATTATCTGTCTTCCACAGATTCTTATCACCAAAAAGAAGACCCCTCCCCAAAGAACTCATTCTACAAGACAATGAATACAACCTTGAGCAGGTAAACAGAATGTTGTTTTCATAATATTTTATTACAAATACAGTACATGATTTATAGGATTTATAGGAAAATAAACTTATAGATTTGTAGGAAAATAAGAAAGAACAAAAACCACTGATAATTCTATCACCCTGAAACAATCATTTTTAATATGTTGGTAGATGTTAGTTGATTTTATCACTTCTGAAATCATATATACTTATGTAATTTTTCTCATGTTACCCATAATGTAGGCATGTCACATGTTGTTAAAATCTCTTAGCAATATTAATTTTATCATTTTGTTGGCTGTGGGGCTGTATAACAGCCCTGATGTAGGGAAGTGCTGAGGCACAGAATCAGCCAGCCTTCAGAGTTCATATTTTCTGTTAGTGTCAGGCCAAAGAACTTTAGGACTCACATACAGGACTCTGGAAAAATCCTGCTCCTTCTTTGAACTTCAGCATCCTCTCGACCTCTCCAAGGGAACCTTAGGCCTGGAGATAGCAGATCTTCACTTCTTGATTTTTCTCCCCCAAATCCCAGGGCCAGATAATGGAGATTAAATGTGGTTCTGATAGTCATGCTCTGTGTCATCATCCTGAGCTTCCGGGTGCTTGAGAAGTGAATAGGTGATTGTATTTTCAACCTAGAGAAAGCAGAAACATGTGGTACATCCAAGGAAAGATCTTGAGAAACACAACAGCAGGGGAGAAGAGAGGTGAGAGGACAAGGAGATGGCTGAGATCACTCACCTCAGATTTAGCGACCTCCTCAGGATCAGAGAGATTGGCTGTGGACAAAAAGAAGAGAGATCAGCCCCAGCACCACGAGATCAGAAGGCACCCTGTACTGCCACTGAAGCTGCAAAACCAAAGTTCACAGGCCCAAGGCAAAGGCTGCTGACCCCAACTTAGGACTGCAGGCCAAGCGCCAGGTCAATATGGTTGTTCTCAGTCATGCAGGCTGGGGTTGTCCCAGACTCAGCCTCTCGCTGGCCACAGGGAAGCAGTGATTCTTGCCACATTATTTGTAGAGAATCAGTGAGATTTTCTAGAAGCAAACCAGGCAGCTTTGGGCATCTGAACGATTGAGAAAGAGGTGGGGGTGTTCAGTATCAGAGTAAAACAAAAGTCTAGTCTTTTTGCTGGCCATAGGCTTCAGGGAGGGAAGAGCAACTTCCATTTCCACACTGTTCAAACTCAGTGCATCTTGGTTGAAAGTGTAAAGAATTGGGTACTTCAAGGCATCGAAAAGAAATAAAGTGATGAGAAAGAGACAAGAAGAGAGAAGAAAGAAATGTAGATGAAAGGCAGAAGCGATAGGAAGTAAAGAGAAAGAAAGAAAGAAAGAAAGAAAGAAAGAAAGAAAGAAAGAGAAAAGAAGAAAAAAACTTTCTCTGATAAATACCCAAAACACCAAACTCCCTCATGTTTTTGCCATAAATCACTTTGCCAGAATGAAAAGTAGCCTCAGTATCTGAATCCGCATTTCCCAGGAAGACAGGGAGGAGTCTGAGACAATGCTCTTAGTCTCTTCCCTCATCTGCTGGACACAAAGAGTCCTGTGTGACATGTTCCAAACTCTGCAACAAACCATGCTTGGAGTCCCCCTTCTAACACACTCCTCAGTGACTCACTGTATCTTTCGGGAAAACATCAGTTCCGATGAAATGCGTTTATGCCAGTGTAGGCAGAATCAAACAAGTTGTAAATTTACCATCTAGTTGTGTTTGGACTTTTCTTAAAGGTCTGGTTTGGTGCTTCCCCCCATGGCCTGGCCAAGAAACAGACAGCGCAGGCTCAAAGCACAGCTAGAGGAGTTACAGTTTGCTCAAGCTCTCAAATCTGTTGGCTCTGCCCCAGGTCATACTCCAGCCATATGAGGTGCAATATTCAAGGGCCTCATTTTCCTGCCTGATCCTGCTGTCAGAGAAGTCCCCCGAGAAAGCTCCAGTTCCCTTTGTAATCTGACCTTTACAGTGGTTAGGACATGGTCTGGCATTCTCCTCCTCTTCTTGTATACTCACACCACTGCCACTTGGGATAGGGGTTGAATATTCACTGGTTTTTATACCAGTGCTCGAAGTGGTAGCAAATTTATAGCACACGTGTTATTTGTTTTTCTTTTTAGACACAAAATGTTCACTATGAGTTTTTTTTTTCTTTCCAAAACTAAAACCTCAATATTCAGGTTTAGTTGCAGTGTTGGCATTTTGCAATAAATAAGCGGGTTTTTAAGTTTTGGGTGCTCATCTCTAAAAGGTTCTCCATTGTTGGTCTAGGCCAACCCATTTCCTTCCTCACTGAGGTGACTGAACATGGGAAGATTTTATTGTATGATGGTGGCAGCACCAGGCCAGTATCTAATACACTGATACGGACTGGCATCAGAACCAAGTTTTATCCAAAGAACAAAACCCACTTGTAGCCCTAGCTCCCCAGATTTTCTTAAGCCCAAATCTCCTCCTAATTTTCTACCAAGAGTTGGTTTCTACCATGCCCATCCTATCCCTTCACAGGGACAAGTACCTCAATAAATCTAGGGGTTGTTCCCAGAACTCCTTTCGCTGTTCTCTTAGAGTCCTGCCTCTTTAATTCTGCTAGCCTTCTTATAACTTCACTCCTGTGTTTTGCCAGATCTGGATCCACAGAAAGATCCAAATTTCTATAATTTATTGCTTTGGAAATGTCTCCAGATTGTTAGCCTCAGAAATGTGGGTGAAGCTCTCCTTTCTCAATTTGGAATCAGTGCTAGTTTTCTTAACTCCAGTGAGTCCCTTCTCAGGCCCAGGAGTTAGACTCAGAACTCACCAAGTGATTTGAGCCCCACTCTCCTCCCAGCCCCTCCCCCTCACGTGCTCCAGCCAAACTCACACAAGTCAGTTCTTGCTGGCTCCAATCCATCTGGCAGTCCTGGACAGGACATCATTGAGCCCCCAAAGACAACGCTGTACTCACCTGGGTCCTCGGGGAGGGTTTCTCCCATTTCCCTGTGCTCAGGGTTTCCTGGGAGAGTTAGGAGGGGCACAGAGGAGGTTAGTAGGATTATGGGGTGGGGCCTGAGTCCTCAGAACCAAGGATCATGGGTAGAGTTGGGTTAGAATCAACGAGGCCCTTCCTTCACACAGACGCCTCTGCTCCTCCCAGCTCCCAGCTCCTCCACCCAGGAGACACTCAGGTCTGTGAAATGACTGTCCAGAGAAACAAAAGTCAGCTAACTCTAGGGCAGCAGAAAGGCAACTTGGTTCCATCTTTCTTAGGCTTCCTCTGCCTTTTAAAGCAGACCTCTTTCTCTGAGTATGTCAGTGTCTCAATATTTACTTATCAGGCACTGGGCCCTATGGAACCCCAGCAAAACTTTGTGAGATATTAGTAGTATCATTCTCTCATTCCTTGGCTCCATGCCTTGGCCTCTGTGCCTGGAATGCCCTTTCAGCCCTCTTTATCTAGGTAATTCTCTGCAAACATCCCCTCCTCCGTAGTGGTAACAGCTCACATTTATGTGTGGCCAGTACCAATTAGGCAACTGTTATAAGACTCACAGCCACATTCATCATAGTAAAAATCCTATGAGGTTGGTCCTATGAGTGTCTCTATTTTTCAGATGAGGTAACTGAGGCACAGAGAGATTGGGCAACTCACCCAAGGTCATACAGCTGGTGAATTAAAAAATGAGATTTGAAGCTGGGCCGCAGGACCTTAATTGTAGTTTTCAATTGCTATGGTACATTGCCTCCCCATGAAACCTTCTCCAACTGTCCCCTCCCAGGCTGAGTGTTTAATTCATGTCTTAAATGTCCCTCAAAGTCCCCTGAATGACACACTTGGTTCCCAGGTTGGTAATATTGAAAGATGGTGGGACCATTAAGAGGCAGAGTCTAGTGGGAGGTCTTTAGGTCATTGAGGGTGTGCCCTTGAAGAGGACTAGGGGACCCCTGGTCTCTTCTTTGCTGCTTTGCTTCCTGGCCATAAGGTTAGCACTTTTGCCCCATGGTGTGCTCCTGCAATAATACATTGTGTAGTCACAGCCTAATGGAATGGGATCAACTGATCATGGACTGAAACCTCCAAATCTCTGAGCAAAAATAAACCTCTGTGCTTTATAAGTTGGTTATACCAGGTATTTTGTTATAGTGAAAGAGCTGACTAACACTGGGTTATGGCACCTCTTCTATATCACTGTCCTAGCCTTTTTGCTTCCCTAATATTGCTCTTATCCATCTTGTAATTATCCATTTGTATTTATATCTTTCCTATATGCTGAGAATTCTCTGAGAGAAAGGACTAGGCTCCTTTATCTTGGTATCATGTCCAGTGTTTACCACAGTGCTTGACTTTCTGTTCAAGCCTTGATGAATGAATAAATGAATGAATGAATGAATGAATGACTAAAAATGGAATGATAGTTGAATACTAATAATTCTCTAGTCTGACAGTGCCTGGGCTTAGGTCCTTAGCCAAATGGAAATTGATAACAAGCAGGACCAGAGAGAGACACTAACCTGGAGGCTGCTTTTTCTTGAGGCAGATGATAGCTACTACAGCAACAACAATGGCCGCTGTAGCAATCCCAATGACTGCAGCCACAATTATCACCACCATTGAAGAGTCGCTTGACTTGGGCCCTGGGGAAGTTAGATTTGAGGACAGGTGATGAGTAATTTCCCTACCCCGCCTCAACACCCCCCAGTGTTGTACCACAGTGCTGATCACTTCAAATTGTTCTGTATCCTGGTCACTTACATGTATAACATTTCCCCCTGCAACCTCATCTGCAGAGGGTCCCATGACTGGACTTATGCCTCTCCCAGAACCAAGGTTCTCCACCACACAGGTAAAGGCACGCTGGGGAGTACATGGAGCAGAGAGATAGCTCTCTGGGGAAAAAAGTGGGCAATCTGAACTGCCCTGGTTGGAGGTGTCACTACAGTTCAGCACTCACCAGGCCCCAGGAGTAAATGGCCATACCATGAGACAGGAGAAGAAACACAGCACCCTCAGCACTCAAGAATTCTAGGAGCTTAGGAAAACTGTGGGCCAACGAGGCTGCTCTGCTTTACTACTATGCACAGAATGAGGCCACAGCCTTGTCCCCTATACCTAGAGGTGGATGTCTGTGAGCTCTGGTCCCTACTCCTGCCCACTGGCCAACACTGGGCAAAGCTTCAAAAACTCTCCTCAGCCCCAGTGCTGTGTGGCATTTCTCAGATCTCCTTACAGGCCTACAGGACCTCAACCCTTGTCCATTATCTCTTCTCTTATCTTTACATCTTGACAGAGTTCCTGTACCTTGGACAGTGATGGTCACAGGCGGTGATGTGTGAGATGTCCTTCCTATTAATCCCGTGCAGTTGTAAGCACCACTGTGACTGTGGTTTGCTTGTGGGATGGAGAAATTTTTACTGATAGAGAAATATTTCTTGGCTACCCCATTGTGGTAGAATGTGACCTTGGCCAAAGGCCAGTTATTCCAGCTGTGGCACCGCAGCACGATGACGTCCCCCTCCTGGAAAATCAGTTGAGAAGTCTGGAGCACCAGCCAGTCTGAAAGACACAAGAGCCACAAGATCCAGGAGGCCTTGACTCAACTCTGAGACTATCCTATCTAGTGGAACACAATGTGCAGGGGGTAGGATCTAAGTTTGGAATCAGATACTCTTGATCTCTAATTCTGGCTCCATTCATCTATGAGCTCTATAATCTTGGGGTAATAATTTAACTGTCTGTGCCACAGTTTCCTCATCTTTAAAATAAACATGATAATACCAGGACTCTACAACAGTTCCTGGCATACAGCGAGTGTTAGGATACTCATCTTCTCTTTCCTTTTCTGAGAGAAGGTAGTTGCATCCCTGTCCTGTTAGTATATATGCAAGAGACCCTAAGATAGAATCTCTTCCTTGGGACTGAGTCCCAGTGGGACTGAAGAGGGTACAGGTGAAGCAGAGACATGTTTTGGCGATAATAGAAGGTTTTATAACTCTAACAGATGTTGGTATACTGATGAATAAATGGGGAGCTTCTGGTCAACAGGGACTTTGTCTGAAGGCAGCAGTGTCACAAATTACTGTACACTTTTTTCTTTGAGACAGGTTCTCACCATGTAGTTACAGAAGGGTTTGAATTCACTCTGTAGCCCATACTGGCCTTGAATTCAGTGATCCTCCTGCTTCTTCCTCCCAAGTGCAGGGGTTACAAATGAATGCCACCACACCTGGCTAAGATGTATACTTTTAAGGAAAATTTGAGAATCAAGTGAGGGATGGGACCAAGAAAAGAGTAAAAGTAACAATAAACTTAGCCAGATGATGGCTCTTCTTCATCTGAAAATGATTATGGAAACTACTTCCTGCCAGGAGCTTTATAAAATCATTGATCTATTTGGCAAACACATACTAAGCCCTTCCCTGTCCCAGATGTGGGAAATGCAGAGATGGATAGGACCCAGTTTTCTTTTTAAGTTGCCCATGTGCTGGAGGGAGAGAAAAATGAAGACCAGTAGGAAAAGGAGGCTGGAGATCAGGGAAGAGCCAGCTCTCCCCAAGCCCTATGAAGGCAACATTAGTAACTCTGTTGAACAGGTGGGGAAACTTAGACCTAAGGATTAATAAACTGATTATGTTTATACAGGTGGTTATTTCTAGGTTTAGGATTATTAAATTGTGGTCTATTTATGGTTGCGTGTTTTGGTGGTGGGGGGTATTGAACCTTGAGCCATCGCATTGGGCTACATCCAGAGCCTTTTAATTAGTTTCTATTCTGAGACAGGATCTGTCTCAACTGATAAATTGCAAAGCCTGACTCAAATTTGTAACCCTTCTGCCTTAGCCTCCCTGAATGCTGGGATTACAGATGTGTCATCATGCCTGGCTTGGCAATGAAAGGGTTTTTATGAAACAGAGACCCCTTTCTGCTTCTCTCATACCCAGTTGCCTGTCAGTGGCCTTGGAACCTTCCTGCTCAAGCAGGAGAGAGACAGAAACAATTACTCATACATGCTGAGAAACTTCTTAGGAAACGTACCCCCATCCACACATATAAAGCCAAAGAGTGGGTGGAAAGGGAAATGAGTGCGCAAAAATTACTTCAAGCAAGTCACGCTGGTGCTTCCCAGAAATCAAGGCAGCCTCCTTTCCTCCCATCATCTGCAGTATCAGCAGACTCCCCTCTCCTGGGCCTCCCAGCCTCTCCAGCCCTACTGACCAGAAATCACGTCCAGACGCACAGGGTCGCTGAGACTGGTCCCGCCCGCCTGGCACCTGTACTCTCCGCTGTCATTGCCCTTGGCAGTGAACCGGTAGCTGGGCAGGACCTGGGTAGGGATGAGTCTCCCGTTGTGGAGCCACTGGGTGGAGTGGTTCCCAGGGCTGGGGGCACCCTCGCAGGTCAGAGTCACGCGGTCTCCCCGGAGCACCTGGATCCATGGGGGCTCCAGTCTCACCACAGCCTTCGGGGGGTCTGCTGAGAGGCAGAGAGCAGAGGCAGCATGAGGAAGGGGAGCCCCAGGTATTGAAGCAGGCCCTAAAACTCAGACAACGATGCATCTGTGTTCACATTATGGGTACCAAGAGTGAAACCAGGTCCAGAAAGCTTCTGCAGCTGAAGCCAACCACAGGAGTCAAGGACACACTCTGGGATTAAGACAAGAGATGGGGGAAGAGTGGCAAGGAAACTCCCTAGAAATATCCTACCTCACCAGGAAATAGCCCAGCCTTCTCTGTATGTGTGTCCCGCATCTCTCTGAGCCTCTGTCTCTGTCTCTCTTTGTCTCTGTCTCTGTCTCTCTGTCTCTCTGTCTCTCTGTCTCTCTGTCTGTCTCTCTCTCTCTCTCTCTCTCTCTTTCTTTCTTTCTCTTTCTCTCTCTCTCTCTCTCTCTCTCTCTCTCTCTCTCTCTCTCTCTCTCTCGGGACTCACTTTCCTTCCTTGTAAACCAAGGCATCTGAACAGTGGTTGGATAAACTGTTTCAAGAGCTGGCTGAAGTCAAGTGACAGCATCTGCCTGACATGTGGGCCCCGAGAGTCAGACATCAGTTTCTGCTCTGATCTATGTCATTCTTTATCCCTTAGAAAGGCAGTCAGGATCACCAGTCCTCACTCCCAAGCCCACAGGAGCCTCCAGAGTCAGCCCTGGGGGTTGGTGAGAGGCCCAGAGGACAGACAAAGAAGTGCCCAACAAATCTCAGTCCACTTTGCTGCAACCAAACATATGAAGACAGCTCTGCCTCTCAGAGAGACAGGACTTGGATCCATGAACCTTTGGATCCATGCAAAGCAGGAATTTGTCAACACATACAACAGTCTGCACAGATCCCGTGATTTTACATGCGCTTTGATTTTACTTGGAAAGAAGCCCTTGTTTTTCTCTAGCGAAGTTAAAAAAAACTCTGATGTGTAATTCCTGTACATATTTATGGGGTACATATAATTCTTTAACATATATACAATTTATAAAAATCAGATCAAAATAGTTGTCTATCTACCATACATTACAAATGTGTGTCATTTATTTGCTTGAGAACATTCAAAATTGTCTCTACTAAGAGTATCAAAAAGAATGCTATCTCTATATTTATTCCTCAAAATGAATATAATTAGTCATATCACATCTATCAACAAAAAAGAAAATATTCTTTCTACTAGCTATTTTGAAATAACCTATTAATTGCTGTCTACCATAGTTACCCTTCTGTGCTACAGAAGACTAGAAGTTTTTCTTCCTATCCAGCTATATCCCTGAACCCACTAAAAATCCTCTCTCCAGCCTCCCCTACCACTTGCAAGCTCTATTAACTACTATTCTACTTCTTTGAGATCAATTTTTTCAAACTTCTTGATTTTGAGAGTGCAAATCAGTTGAAAGAGAGCAGAATTCTCATTTTCTATGACACTGCAACATGTCACCATAACAGAACCAGAAGGCTGAAACACCTGTGGACCACGCTGTCCACTGCCTGTATGCATAGGGGTAGGGGAGGGGTGGGCAGGGCATCTTCTGAGAGTGGCGACCCTTTCCTGGCCCTGACAGAGCTTTCCTGGTACAGAGCTTGGCTGCAGTGCTATCAGAGCATCTCTAAATGGGGTACTGGGAGAAGCACAGAGGGAGCTGGGGATGGAGAGGAAATAGGCAGTGAACTTACCAGAGGTCCCAGCAACAGGAGCTGTAAGAAAGAAAGCAAAGGTCATCAAGGGCCTGAGCATCTTTCCTGAGAAGAGCCTGACCAGATCCAGAGCCCCCTCTCCACCAACTCTTGCCCAGGCCATCCCCGGACTGCCCCCATGAAGTGCCTTTTCAAAAGTTCTGAGTGTTTCTTCCTCAATAGCAGAAGAAAATGTAATGAAATCACATAAAATGGTCTTCCTTTTGGGAAGGACTTCACACTTCTGACTGACTAAAATGGCTTTGGAAAGTTCTCTGTTGGGCCATATGTATGTAAATAACTTTGTCGGTCTGTCCAGAGAGTGAGATCTGTTCTTTTGTGGGGAGAGATAGAGATTTCACAAGTAACCTAGGATCAACATAGAATAGAAGATACGCATGCCAGAAGTATTGTCTTGATATATATCTTGCTACATTTTCTTCATATATATATATATAGTCTACATACAGATTATATATGCCATCTGACATGTTGATTATATATATACAGATATGTGTATATAGCAGATTAAACTACCCTAGAAAAAGTGTTTTCTAATCTGATTTTTCAGACCCAGCAGATTAATGTATTTCTATATGATTGATTTATTGATTGTTGGTCCTGTGTATTGAATTGTACTGAGCTCTATTTCCAGTGCTTTTTTTTTTTTTGAGACAGGGTCTCACTAGGTTACTAAATTGACCAAGTTAGACTAGAATTTGTGATCCTTCTGCCTTAACCACCAAGAGAACTGAAATGATAGGCTTGCACCACTGTGCCCAGCTATGTTTTAATCTTTAATGACTGCACTCTACTATTTGAGTCTCCAGTGATTTATTATATATCCCTATTGCTTGATACTTAGGTCTTCTAGATTTTTGCTATTAGGCAAATCTCAAAAGAGAAGGAGAATGTAAAAAGAACAACAGATCTGTGGCTTCATGTGGAGGAGTGGAATGAGAGAGTGAGGGGAAGGGATCCTGAGTGGAGGCAGAGTGCAGGTCAGGAAGGGTTAGGAGAGCTGAATGGAAGGGTAGAGGTTTGCAGGTAGCATTGCTGGGTAAAAAACCAAAGCAGCATGAGTTAGAGTCTTGTGTCTGTGTGCACACACAGCTATGAGTATGTATACATGACCATCATCAGTAGGGATTTTCTCTTATATTTGGGCTGAAAGTCAAGAAGATCCATATATGTCTATCTTTTCAAGGGTAAAATAGGGAAAGCAATTGAAGCAGAAACAAGGGTTGGGGGGCACTGCAGAAAGTGTTGTACTGGGGTTCAGAGAACTAGATTCTGGTCCATATATATATATACATATGGATCACTTCATTCTTTTGCAACTCAGAGTTTATCAACAAACCCCTGCACTGACTTCACTGACTTCCTCTAAGTCTTGTAGCTCCTCCTGAGTTCTTGAAGGAAAAGAATTTGAGCTTCTGCCCCCACTGTAGGCAACATTCTAATAGTGGAAATAGCATCTATATAATTTACCATCAAAGACATGTCTCTGGTGGCCTTGGAGGAGTATGAACAAAGAGCTAAGGGGGTTCAGAGGAAGGGAAGGTCCTAGGGCTCTGTGTTTGGTAGGGTTTAGGATTGGTAAGGAAGGGAACCTTGTGGAAAAGGTAGTATTCCTCAGGGACCTCCAAAAAGTGATAGGATTTTGTTTTGTGGTTGTTGCTGCTGCTGCTGTTGATCTTTGTGTTTTGGAGATAGTCTCACTGTGGAGTGCAGGCTGATCTTGAATTCACTTATGTTGCCCATGCTGGCCTCAAACTCGTGGCAGTCCTTGCTGCCTCAGCCTCCCGAGTGCTGGGAGTGATCAGATAGAACTCAGAGGATCGGGCACTGATTGGAATATAGAGGTGATGTAAGAGTGAAGAAGGTGTCTGCAGTGAGCGCACAGTTACTTCTCAACATGCCTAGTGAGTTGAGCCCACTTGCTGCTTGCTTTGGGGTCTCCGCAAAAGTGACTCTAAGAATGAGAAAAAGACTAAAAAGGGAAGTCCCAATGCTAAGTTAACGTGACAGAGGATAAGAGTCCAGACTGAGTCTGAATATTCGCCTCACGCTTGCTAAGTGACCTACACAAATCTTCTACGCCTGTTTTAGTTCCCTGATTATAAATGGAAATATTGATAGCAGTGCCTACTTTACAGAGTAAGGATGAAATGACTCAGGAAGGTATTCAGTACCTTATCTGACCCACGATAAAATAAATATAAGGCAATTTTAAAGTTTGACCTATAGTTCAGTGTATAGTGGGATGTCACAATGTCCAAAGTATAGCTGAAAGCATCAGGTCAGATAAATTGGAAAAGGGAACTATCCAAGAGACTTCTCAGGAAAGAGATGACTATAGTTATCTGAAACACATGTGGATGACAATTTCAGCATCAGGCTCAATGTACTTATCTCTTCCTTTCACACATTTTAACCACACACACTCATCTTTTATGCAAGACTTCATCATTGCAGAAACCATACTGATGTCAAATCACAAAATCAAACATTTCTCCCTCTCTCTCTCTTTTCTTGAAACAAGGTCTCACTATGTAGCCCAGATTGGCCTTGAACCATGTTGATTCTTTCGCCTCAGCCTCCGAAGTGCTGAGATTACAGGCCTGTGCCACCACATTGAACATTTCATGCTCCACTTACAACCTCTTTAACTTCCATTCTCTCTGGTCAAGTGCAAACACCATAATCAGCTTTCACCTCATCAAGAATCCCAAAACTGAGCAGAGTATGGCAAAGCATGCTTATAATCCCAGCATTCTGGGAGGCTGAGGCAGGAGGCTTGCAAACTGGAGCCCAGCCTGGACAGCTTAGTGACCTAGTGAGACTGTGTCAAAATTTAAAAATTTAAAAATGAATAAGGATGTAACTCAGTGTGCAGGTCTCAGGTTCGATTCACAGTACTGAAAAAAATCTGAAAGCTTTTGTCCTTTCCCCTTGTATCCTTCATCCCATGCTTGTCTTTACCTCCCTCACTATGAAGCTTGGTTTTGATGATTTGTACTGAAACCACCTCACTGCAAATGCCCCTAACCTCCCTTGCCATTCTCTGTTTCTATCAAATGCACCTGCAATCTCCATGCTTTCACTTGGTCAGCTGTATTGACAGGAGGAAGAGAAGAGAACACCGATGTGAGAGAAATTTAAAAGATAGAACTCAGAGGATCGGGCACTGATTGGAATATAGAGGTGATGTAAGTGTATGACCAGGAAAAGGGTAGGTGTGCTCAAGCAAGTATAAATCTTAGAAGAATAACACTTGTAAGAGGAAGAGGATAAGTTGAATTTTAAATATATTTTGCTTCTAAACTGGCAAATTTACTTGGTGATATCCAGTCAGGAGGTAGAACTATGAAATTATACACAAGTGAGCAAGACAAATAGATCTGAAGAGTTACTGACACAGAAATGATAATCACAGACCTGAGTATGTAGCATCAGCAAAGAGGACAATGCAGTGGAAGAGTAGATAAAAGGGGGGAGGAGGAATAAAAAATACAAGAAAGAGATCAGAGAAGAAGGGAAAAGCCAGCAATCAGGTCTTTATTCCATATTCAACAAACAAGTAGTGGAAATTAACTATATCACACTCTGTATTCCTTGTGAAAGGGACCAAAGACCTTGTACTTTGGGTCAGGAAAACTGTCTGCTGAGTTCAGGGATAAGCCCCCAGGTCCCTGAAGAGTACCTGATACATAGAACTCATAGCAGTTTTAAACAAAGCAACTGGAGAATCACAAAGGTGTTGAAAACAAGGTGCAGCATACACGCTGCCTGGCTATAAAGAAATAACCATTTGGGGTGCAGTGGGGACACGCACCCATACGAGGGTAGAAATGGAGCTTTTTCAGTAGGCAGTGACCAACACTAAAGTTCAGTGACTCAGCCACAGCTATACTTGGAGATTCCGTGGCCTTAGCCTGTAGCAGGAATCCAGGAGAGCAGAGACAGGAGCAATGAAGGCACAATCAGAGAACATTATAAAAATGAGTCATCACGGGTTAAAAACCTAACCTGGAACCCCTAAAAAGATGGAGATCCTTGGCAGTTTAGCAAAAGGAAAATGGAAGAAAAGAAAAGTCTTTCTGAGGATTCTTGCTCAGGTACCCAACACATTGGAAGTGCTATTAATGCAAAAAGCAAAGACATCACCCCTCTAGGGCTGAGCTCACCCATGGGAAAAATGAGGTAGTTTGGTGTTCACTCTATACTGTTATACTTTTATGGGGAGCTACTCTCTTCCTTACTCCTGCCTCCTGTAGGCCCCCATCATCCAACATTGAGGACTGAGGGCTCCCAAAGTGTCCAGGCATGCTGTCAGTTAGGGCAAGTGACTTGGAGAGTGACTGTTGTGTCTTCCTGTGAGAGGTGACAGTGGAACCCCCAGGAACACAACTGGAGGAAAATCTTGCCTGCAGGTCTCCCTACAGCCTCTTTCAAATATACAGCACTATTAATTTCTGTCCCCTGCTCATAGCAAAGATCCTGATCAGAAAAGACTCCTCTATCTTGGCTTAAAACAATGACCTTCTCACTGATCAGTGCCAGGACCCAGCCCATGCTTTCTGCAGTGAAAGGAAGCATGTATGATTTCTCTGGTCCCATAAATGACAATTCCAAAACTACCCATGTTTTTGGGTCCTCCTTGCCCCGGTTCCCTGTGGTTCCTCTCAGGGAAATTTCTTTATGGGCAAAAAGAACCGGCTTCTGCTACATGAAGTGGCTTCAGCAGCACAGAGAGGAGCAATTGCTCTTCTCCCCAGAATGCATCTTAGAGCTCCTCTCCATGCCTTGTCTAAAGCAGCACTGCCTCTCTTGCCTAAGATGTGGTTTCATGTGAAATAGAGTCAAAGGGAAATAGTTTGGCCACACATTTGTCACTTAAGTTGAATCATTAAACTTCCCCCAGAGCAGGTTCTGATACACGCAGTGGCAGAGGATCAGAGACTATGTGCTCATTAAAACCGAGTAAGTTAAGAAACAACTCCTCCAACTTTGCTTTACTAACTAAAGCCAGTAGGTTGTCAGACCTGCAACACGCAGCCTCCATACTCCTAATTTTTCCAACACGCTTCTTAGGCCACCCTTATCCCTGCCCAAGATCAGCCTCAACCCAGGTATTCCTGCTCCTGCCTCCCTACTCAGGCCCTCAACTCACCCAGGAATAGCACAGTTATCCACAGCAGCATGTGGCTCAAAGTCTGCAAGGGCTTATAGTCAGCTCGGTGACTCTTGGTGCCAAGGACAGGTAAGAACGAAGGGATCGCCATCACTTCTGCAGCAAGCTGACTCCTACAGTATGCAGCTTCTCTCCACCCAGAAAACAACCAAATTCTGGAGTCCAAAAGAGGAAGTGAAAAGAAACGGTCTATTTAATCATAGGCTCCTCCCTCTCTCCCCTCTTTCATCTGTTCCTTTGTAAGAGATTCAGAGCTTCCCAGAATTTCCTGCTCAGCTCAAGACACAGAAACCGGGAAGAAATTGGGAAGCAACTTCCCACTTCTTCCTCTTGGGGCCACACTGGCCTGGACCCTTAGAAAAAGTGGGAGAAAGGGAAATGATCACCCAAACTTGATTCAGAACTTTGTACCTCAGTCTCCACCCTCCCTAGAAAAGTAGCGGGGGTGGATTGTACAAGCCATCTTTCGGCACATCTTCCATTCAGAGACCCAGATACTGGCATCTGGACCCCTCCTGAAATTAAGCATAGTGGCTTCAGACCACCACCATCATTTGATTTTTTTCTATTATCTTAATTCCATGACTCACTCTTGGATTATGGAACAAGAAAAAGAAGGTGTATCATAGCAGCAACAGAACAACTACATTCATCATTTCATAATTTCCTTCATCATTTCCCTCCTTTATTCATTCTTTTATTCATTTACTCATTCATTAATATAATTAATATCTCAATAAATATTGCTTGAAGCACCAATTTGTGCCCTGGATCTTTATCTTGGCTTTTTCTCCCATCATTGATCTCACCACTATAGACGGTGAAAGAGCATGGGTTGTAGAATTGAAAGTTCAAATTTGAATGCTGAGAACTACTCGGAGTTTTGGGTTTTAGACCTGTAAACATTAAGTTCATCATGCCTGTTAATTCAAGCAGACTTTTTCCTTCAAAGCATTGTTGCCATTCTGAGCTGATTAATTATTATGAGGACTTGCTCTGGGTATTGTAGGATTTTGGGTATTGTAGCCACATCCCTGGCCTCTATCTGTTATATTCTTATGTGCCCTAAAGTCGTGGAAACAAAAATGTCTCCAGACATTGCTATATGCCCCCAGTCAAGAACCACTGCACTTGAGATTTTTTAAAAGAAGAAGACAATGTGCGTTCCAGCAAAGGGCTATGTATAACATGGGTATCCAACAAATGTCATTTCTTTTTCTTGCCTTCTGCTTCATTTGTTCACTATCAACTTCTCCAGTAGAGGACATATTCTGGGATCTGTCTTGGGACACTCTCCTGAGGCCTCTTTCCTACACAACCTTTCAGGAAACAACCTGCAATACTCAAGGAAATGACATTGTAAAATCTTCTCATACTCTGTGGTCTTCAAGAGATTTCAACAGCTACCCTCTGTACTACAAGTTTGACTAATGGTGCTGTCCAACCCCTCTCCCCAGCTTTTGCCTTATTCCTAAGTAAGAAAACATTTTTACTAGTGATGAAAGGCTAGTGGGATAACATCAACACTTTTAAAATATCTTTATAAACAAAAGCATGAAACAGTATACAGGTAACACATTAAGAAACCAGAATTAGTAGCCAAGAGTGGGGGTACCTGCTTGTGATCCCAGGTTGAGCAGGAGAATTGAGAACTCACAGCAAGTCTAGGCTACACGGCAGGTTCGAGATCATCCTGGACTATCTATCAAAATCATGTCTGAAAAGAAAGAAAGAATGAAAGAAAGAAAGATTAATAATCATTATGTCAATACAAAAATGCTTATTCTGAAGAAGGTAATGGACATGTTATCTCTAAATTTTATGACAATCTCATAAGAAAAATACTATTATCCTCACCTGCATATGAAGAAACTTAGCTGGTCAGCTATTACAAAGAAGTTAGGAAAGACTGAGCAAAGGAATGAAAAACAGATAAGAGGAGCTGCTGAAAGAGGCTCAAAAAGTGTTTTGTCAAGCTGGGGATTTAGCTCAATAGCATAAGCCTTGTAAGCGCGAGGTTGTGAGTTCGACTCCCAGTACCAACAAAAGAAAAAAGTGTTTGTTTGTCAAGAGAGACAAGGTTAGACAAAAGCAAAAGTCTAGGATTATGGTCTCCACAGAAGGAAGCTGTCAAGGATCCTCAAAGGAGAAAAAGGGAAATGAGAAACTACACCAGGAAGTGGTAAAAGAGCTTGGGGAAAGAATCCCAAGGTGAGGCAACAGATGCTTCCAATACAGAAAGCCAGGAACTTTAAAACAGCATTTCCAGAATGAAAGGAGGAAGGAGAAGTGACTCCCTCGTGGCGTTTCAGGAGGAGTACTGAGATCGGGGGTTCCTTTTAACAGGGGCCCTTGGTAAACCTGAGAGTGGGACCTGAAGAGGAGGAGGTTAGTTTTCTGATTGACTCAGGTGCTGGCCTCTCTTCCTTACCTGTCCAACCTGAGAGCACAGGCTTTCTAATGAGAAATTACTAGTACCTGGGACAAAAGGGGAGGGATTTTAAGTTCCAATACTGAAAGAATGATGAGTAAAGTAGATTAAAGAATCACTATTATAGGTTCCTGAGCCAGGGCACTAATCTCCTACAGAGAGATTTTTTTTATTAGGTTGGGCTTGAGTTTAAAAGTACAGGAAATCACAGATTATCATTATCAGCTGGTTAGCTGATGCCATGCACAGGAAATGAAGGTGCAAAAGTGATCCCAGCAGCTACTAGAAGGTTCTTGGAATCCTAACCATGGATTCAGCTAGCTAAAAGCAGCCAGTCCCTCTTCCCAAGCAACTGCCAAGGTGCACAACTCTCAGGAGCAGCCCCTCCATGGTCCCTAAAACTGCTACCAGCCACTTAGGCTCATTCCCAGGTTTGTCTGTTCATCACTGACCAAATCAAAGGAGGTCATATTGATATAGAAATAATATAATTCCCAACCAGCCAGATGTCAGATATGCCGAGTTCCTATCTGGCAAAACTCAAGAGTGAATTCTGAGGAACAATGGAAGTTAAGAACTGGAAGACTTTGAGAGAGAGGGCTCCTGAGAGACAGAAGAGGACTCAAGTGGGTTGGCAACAAGCCCACGTCTCAAATGAAGTTTTAGAGAGCAAGATCAGGAGGTGGGTACAACATGAGTCAAAACTGATCAACTGCCGGCCATGGTGGCTCACGCCTGTAATCCCAGGACTCGGGAGGCTGATGCAGGAGGATTGTTGAGAGTTCAAGATCAGCCTGGACTACAAAGTGAATTCAAGGCCAGCCTGAACTGCATAGCGAGACCCTGTTTCAAAAAGACAAAAAAAAAGATCAACCAATAAGATTACAAGTATAGCCATTTAGATAATATTGACCCAATGAGGAAGGAGGGAAGGAGGGAGTGTTGCAAATGTACATGGAAAGAACAAAAGCCTTTTTAGGAAGGGATATATTGGGAGGTCCTGGTCACCTGTCTGAATAAATGGTGTCTATCTAGATTTTACTGGACCAGGTGATACCAATAATAGTATATTGCTTGTCCCTGCGGTAAGCATGTAGGCCTGGTCATTCAATATTTATCTTCAGGTCTGGCCTTCTACAGATACATATCCAGCCACTGCTGTAATGTATTCTCATCTTCTGCACTGACTCCCTCAAAGGCCTAGCACTGTCTGACTGTCTAAAATATTTCTACCTCAATCAGCTGTCTATAATAATATATTTGGGAAAAAATAAAACAGATTTATTTAAAGCTAGCCCCAAGGAGATGATGGACCCTATTAGTGTCAAATCACCATCTCATCATTTATAGGTGAGCCAGGTATTTTATAATAAAGAAACAGGGGAGGAGAAACACAGAAAAATAATCTCTACAGTTGTTTTATCATTTTTATGGGTTATATCTAGATGTCCCCCAAGGCCTCAAGCAGCTGTAAGTGGGGCCTTTCAGAGGTGGCTGGATTGAGTGTGTGGTGCTGGGACAAAGGGTGTGATGCTGGAATCGAATCATGGTGCAATGCTGGGATTAAGGGTACCCCCACCCTAGGCTATGAGACCTAGCTGCCCTAGCTGGGTGCCTTGGATAGGATATAAAGGACAGAAAGAGGGCTGCTATCATCACTTGCTGCTGCTGACAGCTGTCTTTGCTGCCTCTGCCTGCTTGCCATGGGCTATTTCTCCTCTGCAGTGCCTCTCTGCCATGCCACCCTGCCTTGGAGTCAACCAGCTATGGACTAAAACCTCTACAAACTGTTAGCTACCGGCCGTCAGGTGTTTTGTCTGAGCATCAAGAAAAGTATCTAAGATAGCCATCTTTAACTCATTCTCCTCTTTTTTTGTAAAAAACAAACCAGGCTCCTGGCCTCCTGCAGCTGGCCTCTGTATATTCTGACACTTCTTCTGAGCTACAAGGAAGTAAAAAAGCTATTTATACCCTCAATCTCAGAAAACCACTTGTCTGAAAAAAACAAAACAAAGCAAAAAACCTTTATTTTGTAGTGCTGAAATGAAAGAACCAGATAACATATTTTAGATCAACATAGGACTTCAGGTTATATAGGGGAAATAAATGTAATTCCCACCCTGCTAGATGTGTCATGTGCCCAATTCATGTTCCCCAAAATTGAAGAATAAATTCTAAAGAACAAAGAGGTTAAGAGTAGAATATTTTATTGAAGGAGAGACAACTCCTGAGAGAGAAAGGAGGAGGCCCAAGTGGGTTGACAATGAAAGCTCACTTCTCAAAGTTCTCTCAAAGAGAAAAATCACCAGGTGGGTACTATGTGGCTAAAGCTTTGATCAATCATTAAGATTGTATGTAGAGCCACTTAGTTAATATCGTTCCAGTGGGGAGGCAGGTCACATAGCAAGTGTACATGGAAAGAACAAAGGACTTTTCAGGAATGGATAAGTCTCGGGGTCTTGATCAGGAAGTAATCATTAGTGACTGATGTTTGTGTAGACTTCATTGGAGCATCTGTTACCCCTCATCTTACCCCTTGGTTGAAGCATGTAGGCCTGTTCCTTCTTCTGTTCTTGAGGCCTGGATTCCAACAGATGCACCTCCAACAACAGTAGTAATGTTTTTTCATCTTTTGTACTGACTCTATCAAGCCATAACTTCCTGAAATAGTTAGCTTAGCAGTCTATAATAAGATCAATTATTCACTTGGGAAGCTGAGGCA